TTGAACCGCCAGCCGTCTGGTTAGCAGGCAAGTGTCTTAGCCACTATGCTACCAGAGCATTAGGAACTCCAATTCATCCACTCACCACTGCCTGGGTGACTGTAGGCAAGTGGCTTCACCATTTGGTGACTCCATTGCCTGAAGGGTAACAGGCTGGTGAGGCTTACCTGAAACAAAGGTTTCCTTTCCACTCTCTTTCTTCACAGAAATTTCAAGTAAGGAGATGAGTCTCCCTGCCTGGCCCTGATCCTCCAGAACTCCCTGAGTACCTGACCCAGAGTCACACCTTTCACCCACCCAAAACTCACCTCAGCAGGCCTGACTTTACCTGATGCTAAAATGCTCTGGTCCTCTCTGCTGCTCTCTTCATGTCCCCTACCCCATCCCCACCCTACGCCTCCCAGAGTCCTTTCCTAACCACCTGGTCAATGAACAGCAACCCAAGCCCAAGTGAGGGAGGCCCATTTGCTTCTTGTCTACTCACTGTCCACACGCTTGTTCCTTTTCTGTGACTTCTCTATGGATGCTTTATTGGGTGCAGCTGGACTATCCCGGAAAACCACTCGGGCTTGGGGAAGGGCAAGAAAGATGAAGAAGCAGTATGTTCTACATGCTTCATAATGAATAGCTTCCAAGCCTTGCCATCTGCCTCACCTGCCTCTTCACCCTGCTCCCTTGCCCAGCTTTTCCTTGTTGCTTGGGTTGCTGGGTCTTGGAGATTATAGTGTCCAAGAGTTTCTGATCTTCCTTTCAGGAATTCCCACCTGCTGGGAGGAGAGATTGTTCTGGGAGGCAGTGACCCCCAATATTACCAGGGGAACTTCCACTACGTGAGCCTCAGCAAGACTGGCCTCTGGCAGATCAAAATGAAGGGGTCAGGAAACCTCAACCCTCCCCAGTCTCCACAAATGTTGCTGTCTCGGGTTTGGGTGGGGTGGGGAAGGAGGAGTGCTACCATCCTGCCCTCTCCCCAAATGCATCCACTTCTTCAGTCACTGCCAACATCTGCTGTCTGCCAGTTCTGACCAGGCATGAGGGACCCTGAGATATAAGGAATAGAGCGGGAGGAGGGCTAGCAAGAGGACAGGGAGGGTTGCTACACTACTTCTGAGGGAAGGGGACAGCATCTTCCCTCCTCCTGCTCACTGCCTTATCACCCTCCAGTACATCTCCCTGGCCATCAGTACAGCCACCAATCACTGGCCCTCACTTGGGGAAGACATACAGCCTGGTGGTGCCCCATCAGTCTTCTGTCTGTAACCTCCTCCAGGGTGTCTGTGAGGTCTGTCACTCTGTTCTGTGAGGAGGGCTGCATGGCTGTGGTGGACACCGGCGCTTCCTTCATCACAGGACCCACTAGCTCCCTGAAGCTGCTCATGGAGACTCTGGGGGCCAAGGAACTGATCACAAATGAAGTAAGCCACCCACACAGAAGCTGGGGGGAGCCACCTGCTCCAGGGCCTGAGGTCACCACAGGCAGTATCAGGTCCCAAATGGGGCCATGCCAAGCCTCCCTGTCCTCACCCCTCACACACCCTTCCCATGATGTGGCTTGGTCCCCAGAGGGGCCAGACCACAAGTACAGAGCTCCATGTCTGCCGAGGGGCCTCCCGCATTCAAAGGGGCTCCTTCCCCCCACCAGTATGTGGTGAACTGTAACCAAGTGCCTACACTTCCCGACATCTCTTTCCACCTCGGAGGCAGAGCCTACACACTCACCAGCACGGACTATGTATTACAGGTGAGGCTCAGGTCTGCCCCCAGGGGCTGCAGGGAGGGAAGGTGGGCAAAGACCCTCAGAAGGGGAAAAGTCACAGTGTCCCTAATGCAAAGATGCTCACTATAGTCAGGGGAGCTTTCCAAAATCCCCATGCCCAGGCCACAGCCACACCTCTGGTAGGACCTGGGATCAGTGTTTTGTTTAATAATTGATTTTGTTGTTGTTGTTGTTGAAAATGTACACAGCAGAGGCCAATTCAATGTCTACATGTACAATTCAGCAACACTGATTATATTCTTCAAATTGTACAACCATTCTCATCCTTCTTTTCTGAGTAATGCCTCCATCACTAACATGAACTCACTGCCCCCTAAGTTTCTTCTCTAATGTTTTGAGTTGCTGTTGTCAGTTTTGGGATTGGTGTTTTAAAACTCCCAAGGTGATTCCAATGTATGGCTGAGTTTTCAAATCACTGTGTTTGTCCCTTTACCTCCACTTTCTTATCAAATGTTCCCAATAATCCGATGCTGAGGATATTCTTACCCCCTTTTATATTCATTAAGGAGCTCTGGTGGCACAGTGCCTAAGGCATTTGACTGCTAAGCTGAAAGTTGGCAGTCCAAACCCACGAGCCACTCTGCAAAAGGAAGACTAGGCAATCTACTTCCACAAAGATTTACCACCTCAGAAACCCAAAGGGGGTTGCTATGAGTCGGAACTGACTTGATGGCAGTGAGTTTGGTTTTTCAGTTTTTACATTCATCAGGTTTATCGTTGTTGTTAGCTGCTGTCAAGTCAGCACCCGACTTATGATGACCTCATGCACATTGGGATCAGACTCTTGTTATCCATGGGTTTTTATTGTCTGTTTTTTTCAGAAGTAGATAGCCAGGCCTTTCTCCAATAGGCTTAGAGAAGGTAGATCACGTTCCTGAATCAGAAGCCATGCTAGACTGTAAACTCTTGAAGGTAGCACTGTGCCTGATGCATTGTTTGCCTAGGGGTGCAAACATGATGTGTTTTGTAGTTGAAACGGCTAGGACGTGATGGAGGCCTAGTGTGAGTGGGGAAAGTGAGGGAATGTGTTGCTGAAGATGGCAAACTGAAGGGAGATGGTTGTGTGCTGGGCAGTAGAGAAACCCTCCTGCTTCCCTCCAGGACCTTGACAGTAATGATGATGACCTGTGTACACTGGCCATCCATGGCCTTGACATCCCACCACCTACTGGGCCCCTCTGGGTCCTCGGTGCCAGCTTCATCCGAAAGTTCTACACGGAGTTTGATCGGCGTAACAATCGCATTGGCTTTGCCTTGGCCCTCTGAGGCCTTCTGCTGCCCAGCCTGGAGCAAGGGAACACTTTATGGGAACATCCTCTACCTAGGCTTGTACCCTCACACAGGGCATCAGCATGGATCTGCCTTTGGACACTTGCCCTGCCTCCAGAACTAGCCTTCCCTGCTTTGAGGACAAACAAAATAAAGACTCTGTATTTGCAACTCTGTCACATTTGGGCTCACTGAGGTTTGGAATAGAGGGAGGGACAGTTGCATGATCATGTGCAGACAGGAATGTGACACAGACTGACAAATTGTACATATTGATCCATATGCTAGGCTCTGGCGTGCAAGGACAATGCCACTGCTATCATTCACTGTCAGCAGGGCCCAGGGGGAAATTGTTTACACAACTGCAGGTGGGAAGTTTGCAGAAAACCAGCCCTGTGCCCCTTCAGCCTCTCAGGGGACCAAGGCTAATGCTTTAGCAGTTGACTGTGGGCCAGGAAGATGCTCCCAGCTGTTGGAAATCAGTCCCTGAACTGAGGCATTGCTAAGCTAACCAGCCCTGCCTCTCACGCACTGCAAAACTCCCCTCCTCCCTGTTTCTCACTCACAGCAAATCCCTACCCCCACCTCCACACCATCTAGCCATGTACACAGGCCGTCTAAGGCAACACTACCTAAAAACCAGGCTTTGAACCATTTCTAACAAGTCAGTCATTGCCGAAGAAGCAAAACCAGAGTGGACCCCAATTTTTTAAACTAGGGTAATCTGAAATGCTAATCGGAACAGGAAAATGTATGAGTCAAAGCCCTGGAATGAGAGACTCAGAAGAGGTGTAGCGAGCCATTTCAGGAGCCTGATGTATGACACTGAGTTATTGCCAGGACTGGAGAGCCACACACATTCAAAGCAGCGCTGTCAGCTGCCATCTTTGAGCTGAGAATCACTGTTTTCAACTCAGCCTGGTCAAGAGATTTGGTTGCTATGCAACATGAACACTGCCCTTATTTTCTAAGAAGATTAAGTTTCTAGCAGGGTTTGATCTGTTAATTTTTTCTGGTCTGGTTAGTGTTCAGGTTCACTTACATTTGAAAAATCCAGGTCTGTTCCGGTTTCACTTCGTTGGCCATGACTGAACCAAGCTGAACCAGTTCAAAGCCCTACTGAGAAAACAAAGAGATCCAACCGATACTCCCATTTCACATGCGTGGAAACTGAGGCCCAGAGAATGGAGGCATTTGCCCAAGATCATTCAGTGAAATAGGGAAGAATCAAGACTAGAACCCAGCACCTCTGACTTTGGTCCTGGGGTTTTCCACCTCAGCACGTGCAGCTGGTCCCATCACATGTACAGAGCATCACACACCATTGTACAGGGTCACATGCACACAGGTGCCCTCATTCTGCTACCCACCATCTCAGACTTGGGACTCCTCAAGCTGAAGTCTATTCTCCACTCTTACCCCTTGGGCTGGCTGCAGGGGGTATGTACCTTGGGGAATGAGATGGCAACATCCTCCTGAAGCCACTGAAGCCATCCCTCTTCAAGGGACCAAACAGGGTAAAACACTGAGCTGGGCCCAACCAGAACCAAGCAAACCTTATACCTTTAGAATTGTAGCCTTTTGGGATTGGGTGGGACCTCAGGGCTCCTCAAGGGCAGGATTCCTGCAGGCAGAGCCAAGATCCTGAGCCTGGGCTCAGGACACTAGACTCAGCTTTGTTTCTACCATGGATTCTCCACATTCCCTTCCCTTGCCTGGGATTCCTTTCAGCATTGCAAAAGGAAGGGCTGGAGTCAGTGTCCTTTCCAGCTCTGACATTCTGAGGCTCCATGACCCTAAATGGGCAGGACCCCCATCAGCTCCTTATGGTGTTCAATATGACAGCCACCAGCCACATGTGGCTGTTTACGTGTAAATTCACTGAAGTTAAATAAAATGTGGTACCAGCCACATCTCAAGTCTCAGTAGTCACATATGGCTAGCTTTGCCATATGCACTGCTTTGGACAGTGCAGAAACAGCACTTCTATCATTACAGAAGTCCCATTGGCAGAGCTGGATTCTGGACAGCAATGATGAGAGGACCCTTGTGGTTGAGCAGTTCCTGAATCAATCAAAGGGGCAACTTGGGGAAACAGAAATGGAGCTCATCTCTGAAGGCACTATTCTGAGTAGAACTATAACAGATCTGGTCTCTTAGAAAGAAGTCTCCTTCTATAGAGCTGGTGACTACTGAGGTTGCAGAGGCAAAACAGGAGAGTGGGTGACTAAGGTCTCACTGGGCAAGAGAGTTGGCAGCCAAGAGTCCTGCTCAGGAGGTGACAGAGACTAACCAGAGGAGAGTCCAGTTAGCACAGAGGACTTTCCCAAGCTGGCTGGCCTCTCTCCATCTCTCTTCCTCCCCATAGCAACTCTCCCTTGGGATACCTTGTGCCCATCTAACACACTCACACACACATTTTCTCCCTCTCTTTCTCACACACACATACGCACACACACAACCATCACCTTATCCTGTTTTAGCCCTCCTCAATGCCAAACAAGGAGCTCTGGTGGTGTAGTGGTTAAGGCGTTTGGCTGCTGGTGGTGGTTGGAACCCACCAGCTGCTCCATGTAAGAAAGATGAGGCAGTCTGCTTCATAAAGATGTACAGCCTTAGAAACTCAGTAGGGGTCGCTATGAATCAGAATTGATTCGATGGCAGACAGTTTGGTTTCAAAGCCAAACACATTATCTGTCCCACCTCCATGCCCCTAGTGCCCAGCAAAGCTCTGGACTGACGGACACCTCATTGCCGCTCCTCTAGAACCTGCTCCAGGGCTGTAGGGAAAGGGGGCAAGGAGCAAAGATACAAGTGGGGGTCCAAGCTGACTTCTTGGAAGCAGCTGGATCTCCATACTTCAGGATGGGGTGTGGGCTCAGGTAAAGCCGGTCTTCGCCCCGCCCCAGTCAGCGCCAAAGGAGTCCCCAGCCAGGATGGGCTCCCTCGCTGCTTCAGAA